TACTTTGACATAACTGGATATTGCACATTCATCCCAGGTGGAGCTATCACCACTAGCTTGCCATCTAACGCATCACAGGGTCCAATTAATCATGCACTGATGCAACAGTCTCAACCCAGAGCCACTCCTGAAACATAAATCACTGGTGCTTAATGAACCCTGCAACAATGACACACATGCTGCGGAGAAATATAAAAATAACCACAAATTCACTGTTTGATTGTTAGAACACAAAATAATTAGTGAGAATACACAGAGAATAGAGTCAAGCTACTTATGAGCTTTCATGAGGGCTTACACCCACAGAGTGCTCAGGACGGCGTTTGGCTGACAGAGAAGTGAACTACACTGCAGTGAGGCGGCGTCTAGACTGAACGCTTATCAACTGAATTAGCCCTCTAGGTTTCATCTGTAGGAAAAGAGAATAATCTTGTTAGACACCACAAAAAGTATTCCCCTTGTTGCGCTCTTGTGTTTTTCTTTTTGTTTTGTTTTTTTTGCTCTTGTACAAGCTTCATATCACAACATCAGCCAGTGTTTAACACTCCCACACACATGCACGGAGGCTTATTAATATCCTTGTAAAGTAGTTAAAGAAATTAGATCTGTTGCATTAAAAATAATCAGATTTTTGCTTGTGTGAGGGCTCAGAGCTCTTCCTTCTAGCCTTGATTTACAGTATTTCTTGTCTTAAAATCATCTGTATTCTTCAAGTCCCCCTCCCCCTCTGTATTAAGGGTAGATTCTCTGCCCCCCCCCCCCTCCCTGCGTTTGTATGCCCTAGCAGCAATAATGGATCCTTTCAGTCTCATCACTATTACACAGATGCCTCTCCTCCCTCCTCCTCCTCTGCACACTCCTCCTTTCAGAGAAGACAGATGAGTGACTTCTTCTTCTTCATCACCCCGCTTTTGCTCTGAGTTAGCTCATTCATAAGACTTTCTGGCCTCACTTACAAACACATTAAGACAAGGGTGGTGGACTGTTATTACCACTGTGTGAAGCTTTACTCTTAGGCAATGAGATGCTGGGCTGGAGCAACAGGGAGCTGAATGCCTTGTTCTAAACCATCACAAGGATAATGGTTGTTATTGATTCTTACTCATTCCCTTTTTCAAATCATGAAGGACTAAGCAGTTCTGAATTAGGACAAAGGACCTGTGACACATATCTAGAGAGGAAAAAACTAGTCCCAATCAGCTCACTCTGTCCCGCCTGTCTCACAGACAAAGTAAAAATGCTAGAAAGCTTAAATCCAAAACTATTACAAAGTACTAAACAGATTATATCTCAGGTCTGGACTGTAAGGAGTCTTTAACAAGACTTAGTAAGACCTGCAAACATAGTATCAGCTCTGTGGGGCTGTACTTAGGCACAGTGGTGCTTGGAGCAAAATGCTAACATCAGCAAGCTAGCATACTCGCAGTGACAATCTTAACATGTCCTTATTTAGTAGTTATAATGTTTACCATGGTCAGTGTCTTTGCTTAGGATGGTACCATTTGCTAATTAGCACATTTCATGGCAATCAGAACAGTGATACTGCCATTCCTAGTGCCTTGCCACTAGCATGGCTAAAATCCCTTAATAGATCCACTTCATACTGCAGAGTGGCCCACACAGCCTCACTGAAGGAGCTAGGAGTCAAGTGACCTGCCCAAGAGACGCTTTACAATAAGTGTTACTCCTTCACAGTCCTCACATTTCCCTCTATGAGCCTCTGGTAAGAAGCCCAGTTTCTCTAAACTAAGAAATTATGTAGAAAAAGAAGTATATGCAACAGTATGCCACAATGCACCTTCTATTTTGCATCAATCATGATATTTCACTTGCAGATTTGCAGACACGAGGGTCGAGAGCATCTTCATCTCATATAAATAAAATGACCCATAAGAGCACATCATTATGGCTCCACCACTTTCTTTTGTGCCAAAAAAACTCTGTCCGTCTCTGTCTCTCTCTATCTTCCTATCTCTCAGGAAGTGCTGTTCCCAGCAGAAATAAAGATAGCTCGCTAAGTCCATGCAGTTTAATAGTAGCAGTGTCAGATGCAGCAGATGTTAAGCCGTGATGTTAGGAAGCTTCGAGATCAATATACCCTCCTTAGCTTACAAGAAAAGCCGAGTCAGAGGGAGAGGGATAACAATATTTCTGACTTTTTTTTTTTTCTCAGTGTAGTTCATTGTTGTTGTGATCTAAGTGAGCTTTTTGAGACTGGGTCTTAAGTAATACACACAGTCTGATGAGCAGATAGGCAGAGAGGTGGTTGGCGTGTATGCTTTCCTGTGCTGTCCTCATTCCTGGCACAGGCTCAGTTCAGACAGATGGTCATCAGGGCTTTATGGAAGCGTATCCCCCCCCCCCCACACACACCTCCAACACACACACAACCACACGCACGAGCATAATAATGCCGGCAGAGTGCCACAGGAGTAACACCGCAGCTTTGACATCTGCCTATAATGAGGCATCATTCCATAGTGTTTAGTGAAGGCTGTGAGACACATAACTACTTAAAACTTCTGAGTTGCACAGAACAATCTCTTCAACAATCACCCACCAGTCACAGTTAGTTAGTTAGAGAGTTAGGCCATCCTCTAAGTTTGTAGTTATTCAGGGTATTCAGGAGGGTGCATTTCACCACTGCAAGGAGCTATGACTCTTCCAGCATTTAATTCATAATCACACCTCCCCTGAAAGATTAGTGAAACACTAGTTGAGCACTGGGAGGGCAGGATGTTACTCGGGCTTTCCTGTTGCTGCTGCATCCTATATGTGACAGTTGTTTGATTCAGTAACAGAAGCCTCCAGATCAGCTTAATACAGGGCTTCAGGGGCATCAAATCCTGCCTAACTCACGGGGAATCCAGCAGAGAGGCATGATGTTAATGTGACCGTCTGTTTGTGTGTGTGCGTGTGAGTGAGAGATTCGGTAGAAATAAAGGAGAGGTTATGTGTAAAGGCAAGGAAAGAGGGAGAGAGAGAATTAGGATTCAGAGCTCGTGGACAGACGGGCGCAGATTTTTACTGACTGCACGTCAGCCTCTGCCAGTCACAGCCCTCTCAGATTTACTTTATCTATAATAAACAGATGGCATTTTAGTACAACCACCGCCAACACATGCCGTAAATACTGCTGACATTGATGGAAAGGCTGTTTGAACATGGTTACATAATAAAAACACGAGGTTGAGAGGGTCGTTTTCCTTGAAAGATTATGATCTGTAAAGGAAATGAGCAAGGGGTCTACACCTACACGGCATATTAATTTAAAAAAACAGACTGATTAAGATTCAAAAGTGAATGATTTCAAAGAAGCACGATGACGTGCAACATTTACTGACATTTCTCTCTGCTCTGTCTGCTATTTAACACCCTGTGAAGTTTGTGTGATTGTGCTATGCCGGGGCAATGTGCGGAGTAACAGCGGGAATTGAACTGTGTTTTAATTTTTCTCAGAAGGGAGTCATTTTCTAGCTCTGAATCTAAACATAAAAGTAACACAGATGTTTCAACTAATGAAGAGAAATCAAAGTTAAGATGTTCTATAGCTCTTGCTCATGTTGTTTTGTCCCACTAAACCAAACTATAATTATTGAAAATGCCATTTAAAGGCTAAAAAGGAAAATAATTCGCAAGCATAATCATACTGTATCAAAGTGAACAGTTTACAAACTGCAGCATGAATGTATATTGACATTAAAATGAGTTGATATTCAAGCTCTTATCTGTACTCTGGTGGAGGAGCATTGTCTGCTGACATTTTTATCTGTATTGGTCTAACCTTGTTTGTCTGTCTGTATGTGTGCTAGTCTTTCTTTTTTTTTTTTATCAATCTGTCTGTCTGATGTATTAACTCTGCAAGTCCCTGATACAGTACTGCTGTAAAGATGCCAGTGTTTTGTTCCTGTCTATGATGTTTTTACGTGACAAAATGAGATTCAATTCCTGTAGCACAATCGTGTGTAAACTTCGCAAAGTTTTACTCTCTTCTCTGAGATCTGTCACTCTGTTCCACTACGCTGTGAGCTCTAAGTGACTGCTCCATCATGCCTGTGCTTTTAATCAGCAGCATCTCACAGAGTAGCTAATGCCATTAAGCACCAGTCAGACGCTGGTCTCTGCCCTCCTCACTCATCTACTCCCTGTATCCCTTCTTTTGTTCTCTCTCCCCTGTTCTCTCCAATCAGAGCATCTAAGCTATACGACATGATGCAACATGCTGGTAATGGAAACACAGGACATTCATTTTGACCCATGTTTCTACCCTAGACACCCCACATCCATTCTAATTATCAGTTTGTTTGTTTATTCCATAAAGGATGCATATTTTATTAAGAACTGAAATATAGTCTCGAGCTACACAGTGTATTGGAGCAGCTGAGCGTGTGGGTCTGTGACAGAGAAACTTCAAAACCAAGGTGTTCAACCCCTTTTTATGCTTATATAACAATAAGTATAACAATTAATCCTAAAATAATTGACATATTAATTAATATTTAAAATAAGAAGCCATTGCAGAATGACGGTATCAACAGAATAGATCAATCTTTGGGGAAATATGCTTATTCGCATGCTTGGCAAGAATTAGATGAAAGGATCAATATCACTCTAAAGTCTGTAAATCCAAGGAACTGGTTAGCTTAGCTTAGCACAAAGACTGGAAATAGGGGAAACAGCTAGCCTGCACCTCTAAAGTATGAGAGGTGAAAGTGCCATATATTGTAAATGTGTTAATGAGTTTAAGAGGTCAAGGTAGGCTGATTTTGTTTCCCCTGCACAGAGCCAGGCTAGCTGTTCCTCCCTGCTTCCAGTCTTTATGCTAAGCTAACAAAACAGCTGGCTTTGGGTTCACCACAAGGACATGAATGTTGTCAATCTTCTTTTTCTTTCCCAAAATGTTGAATTATTCCGTTAAGTTTTAAGCTTTAACTAAAGCCTTTGCTATACCCTGCTCATACAAGCCAAAGCTGATTATTATTGTGTCTTGTTTCGGCCAGGCTCCTGTTTCTGGGTGGCAGTGCTCGACGGACGTGTGGTGGGCATCGTGGCGGCGCAGGGCCGTGAGGATGACAACACGGTCGAGCTGCGGCGCATGTCGGTGGACTCTCGCTACCGCGGCAAAGGCATCGCAAAGGCACTGGGTCGTCGTGTCCTGGAGTTCGCGGTGCGCAACAACTACGCTGCTGTTGTCCTCGGCACGACGGCTGTCAAGTTGGCCGCCCACAAGCTCTACGAGTCGCTGGGCTTCCGCCGAACGGGCCAGAGCGAGGACTACAGGCTCCCCGGGATGAGCCGCTCGCCGCTGGAGAGGCTCTTCTTCCAGATCCGCTACAGTCGCTACCGCCTGCAGCTCCGTGAGGAGTGAGAGGTGACAGGGAGAGGGAGAGAGAGAGATGGAGAGGGGGAGATGGAGAAAGAGAGGGACAGAGACAGAGAGAGAGAGAACAACGACCCTCCTTCACCTGAGAGCCCCGACCGCATCCTCTCCTCTGACAGCTTTTATTTATTTTGTGTCATTAGAGATAACTTCAAGTACTACTTAACACCTCTACTATTTCATCTTTAAAGTCACTAACGTTTTTATTACTATTATGCTTTTGTTGCTGTTGTTTTTGTATTTATACTTTTACATTTTAAATAAGAGTTTGTTTCTTTTCTTCTATTTTATTAATCTATTTTTTGTACTTTTACCCCTCCCTTTTCATTGTGGGAGAAAAAAAAATTGGCATTCATAGAAGACATCTAACTGGCACGCCGACTAGGCACCCTCCCCGGCCTCTTTGGTTTTGAGCTCATGTGACTCAAATCAATACTCCCCTTCATTACTATTCCACAATGCCCCTCTTTACCCTTCCCCCGTTACCTCAAGCCTTCCCTTCCCTCCCACATTCTCTTAATTTCCTCACAACAAAACTCAACAGGCAGGTTTAGACACGAGCGAGTGCAATGACACATTTGCATTCGTTTATTTGGGGGTGGATAGAGCGATGGACAGGGTTGGGAGGGGCAGACATGACTTCTTTCCAGAGCAAAACACACAAAAAAAGTGTGGAAAGCTTGTGGTGTCGATTCAGACACTCTCTCAAACTCTGCAATGTCACATTTTGTGTATGCATTGTGGACACACACGCAAACACACACGCACACACACCAGTTCATTTGGCTTTTAGCCAGTCCCTCAAGACACCATATTGAAGCACAGCGAGAGTGTGTTACTGACCCCCAGTGAGAGAGAAGGATGACAGGATGGTTGCCGGAATATGCAGTGTGTATCCTGCATCCGAAATGGACATGAATCAACACAATGCATCTTCCTCACACATGCCTCCTCTTCATTCTCCTCACTAATTATACGATTGGATCTCTCCTTCCTCTCTATTTTTTTCTCTCTAGATGTACCATCAGTTAATCACTCCTTTTCTCTGCTGGAGCTGTGGAGAGGGTTTTCTGATTGGTTGAGGTGACAGGAGGGTGGCGCCTTCTCGCTGCAGTGTCCCTCTGACAGAACCCAAGATACAATATAGCTGCATGTCAGAGCTTGTGTATGTATGTGCGACTGTTGGGAGTATGTTACTGTGTGTGTGTGTGTGTGTGTGTATGTATGTGTGTGTGTGTGTGTGGGTGTGTGTGTGTGTGTGTGTGATGAGGCTGTGGTCAGACATTTGACCACGCCTCAACACTGTATGATGAACAATTAAGCTATTTTGATTTTGCGTGAACAGATACGCAACTTTCTTGCTGAGTCAAGTATTATCTAACTAAACATTACTACTTTCTATGTGTACTTATAAACTGTTTACTGATTGAATCTAGATAAATTCTAACATTTTGAATATGTTTACTATTTGACTGATAATTAGTAATTTTATAACTTTAAACACATATTACCACATTGTAATATGCAAATTTTCAAAACTACAACAATTACAAAGTAGCTGCAGTCTATGCTCCACGTACTTAATCCAGGTTATTGGGGAACAACTTGGGTAAGACATGACTACTGGCAATACTTGCAATCCTACAGTACATAACTGAGCACAAATAGCAAATAATTATTTAAAACAATATACTGGCATTAGTATTACCCCTCCCCCTGTTTATTTATATTGTGTATACAGTTGAAAACTCATGTAGCGAACTAAAAGTCAAAGTTTCTCCCATAACACCTCTCTCCATCTCCATCCTCTGAACATACAACCAGCAGTAGATTCAGCCATCCACTACTCTGAGCCTAAGTTGTGTCATTAAACCATTTGTAAAAAGCAAAATATAAATCAAAATACAACAAAAAAAAATCACATAAGGAGAAAAAAGAGAAAAAAAAACTGAATACAAACGTAATCGTCATGAAGTTAGCACTGACCCTCCTTGCCTTGCCACCCTTTCCCTTCAAACTCTCCCCTCCCCCCCATTCATGAATCTGTCTGCAACCCTGGGCTAGACCCCACACCTTCCATTTGAACCTTGCACACCCTCCACCGACCTTTGACCCTCGCTGTCCCAGTCCCGACCCATTTCCCCCCGCCCATCTCTGCATGCGCCACAGAGCCTTGCTGCACTGCTTTTATTATTCCATTTGAAGCTTGTTGGACCAACCCTTAACCCCGCCCCTACTCTGATGTCATCTAGGCAGTGTGACGTTGCCTCTGCAACTACAGTGCCAGGATGCAAGGGACATGTATGGTTATACGAGTATGGATGTGACGCATAAGACACAGGAAAGTGAGACAAAATGTGTGTGTGCGTGTTTAAAGTCGGTGCAGACATAGGATACACTCACCAACTGCAGCGCTGCCTGGATGACATCGTGCCTGCCAGCCAACCAACTGTAGAATGCAAAAAGCAATGCAAGTGTGGCATGCCTCTGTACCCAGTGTGTGTACGGTGCCTGCCCTGGAAAAGTGTAGAAAAAAGAATTAACTGATATATATATATATATATACATACAATATATATAAATATAACTATATATAAAAAGAAAATAAGCTTCTTTTTTAGATGAACATAAAAGAAATGTGTGTTTCTTTGTTTGGAAAAAAGAAAAATTGTACCATTTGCATGAAATGTGTCTTTGAATGCAAATATAACCTTTAGGGGAGAAACTCCTAGCACATGGCATACAGTGGAATCACAGACTTGCAATTTTCTATAATGGTTTATTTTATTTTAAATTACCTTAATTCTCTGTAATCAACACCAGGTTGTGAAATCAATACCAGCCACTAGCCAGTGCTCATAAATCTTTGGGAGGGAGCCAGCTATCGTATATAAATTGTATCCCATTCTAAAAATCCTTGATAAATTTGAAAACAGCTATATTGATTTGTCTGCAGATTTATCCGTCACTGGCTGGAGGAGAAAAGTTAGTTTTCTTCCTTGATCACAGTGGGAGTGAGGGCATCACAACTCTTCTTCTGTTAAACCAGCTTGTAGCGAAGTTCCCAAACACTTTGCAGGACTCAAGATAGGCTGAGCAATGGGCATTTGACGAATGATGCAAAAGAAAACATGTATTTCCATGCGGTACATAGTGCAAAAGCTTGTGGTTGATTATGAGCACCAAGTGAAATATCTTTCATCTACCAAGCCCTTTACCAAGTCTATCATATGAAGATAAAGGAAGCACAGGCACTGAAGATCAAATGTTTAGACTCTGCTCCAGGTGTCACAGGTAGTAGAGCTGTATTTCCTGTCAGAACCACAAACTGAGCCTCTATTGGTCGGCTAAATGTCTAGAAATATAAAATACATGCCTGTTTTCTTTTGCATCTAACTTTTATTACACTTATCACAATATTTTTTTAATTAGGGATGTACAACAGTACCTAATCTCCACAATGGACAAAAGTTGACGTTAGCGACTTTAAGCTGCTGAGATGTCTATGTATGTCAGGTCTCATGGTACTAAGGTTTCTTCCCCCTTCCCTCACTTTGTTTAAACCATGTGAAATGAGAGAAGAGGCTTAGCTACTGACAAGTTCTTTGTCTTTTAATTTTAGTCAACTTAAGATTTCTCTGAGGTTCTACAAAGTAAGCGCAAGGCACAAATGCACTGAAAGCATCAAACAGTATTGTTTAAAAAAAAAAAAAAAAAAAAAAAAAAAAAAAATGCATCAGTTGTTTTCATTGGGCCAACATATGGAGGATGCCTCACACCACCTTGATGCATCTGCTTTGAACTTGGTTGTTGCTGGAGAGACAGAGAGAGAGAGAAGAGGACCAGACTGTATTTTGTGATATTTCTGGAGCAACAGCTACCACTGATCTTCATACAGTACTTCCAAACTTCCCACTAAAACTAAGCAGGAAATTAGCTAACAAGCCACAACAGCCAAACTACAGTATCAACACTACACCAAACGTTTCTCCGGCTTGTCTCCAAATATAAGAATCAGACTATAAACTACCTATTTCACCTAAAGTAAAAATCTTGATATCACAGTTTTTAAGCCGTGGGTGAGGTCTGAAGGTTGAGAGTGAGAGGTGGGCTTTGCTGAAGTGGATTGTACAATAAACTGTAGTCTGGATCTCGTTGAAGAATGTGAAGTCTGTCAATTCTGAGCCATTTCTGCTGCTGCCAATCTCAGTTTTTTGCCTGATGAAATTTAAAATGCTCCTTCATGTATTTTTGGGAGAAATCCTTATCCATATTGGTACTCTGAACAAAAGGTCATACTCAAAACGCCTTTGCCAAGGCCTTATGCACAGGAATCAAACAAGTTTCAAACATCTTGTGGACTGCATGGCTTAAGGTAGTTAAAGGGGGATTTTGAATTGTAAAGATGAAGTGCACTGACTATAATGCATTTTTGTTTTGTACTTCATGTGAATGCTATGCTACACCCTGTGAAGTCTCACCTCCCATTTAAAACTGGTATTGCATACCTAATGTTAGAATGTAGTAATTAAACTGTATGCAACTTCTACCAGAGTGTAAATTTAGTTACAACCCATTCCTCTGAAATGTTCTGCTGATGTACAATCCAAAAACAATCTCACACTTCTTCTGTTTGGTTTTCTGTGATTTGTTTGAGTGCGAGTGTGCTTTCCTATTGGTTGAGGTTTGAGAAGGTATGCTGCATCAAGGCCTCTCCAGCTGGAGATGGTTCTTTTAGATTAGAGTGCTTTAGAACCCAAAAATGATCATCTGATGCTCTCTCTCTGACGACAGACAGAGGCACAAGCTGAGGCTACTGAAGCTTCAACTTCTGCAGTTTTTTTAAACCCTAAAACACGGGGGGGCCACGTTCCATTCTGGATGTTAAAATGGTAAAAAAATATCAATACTTGTCATGATCAATATTTTATTCCGTTTCTCTTTTGGTGAAGGAGCATAGAATTCGAAACTGCACAAATGTACAGATCCTGTGGGTGTGTTGTACTACTCTGATGGTGTGTGTCAATGCTCAACAAGCCTTGGGGGCGAACACTCACAGGCATGAATGTAAACTGCCAACATTTAAGGTCATAGAAAGATTTTTATGTTTTGAATCTTTTCTGGTTGCTTTTTTTTACTTTATGAATGAGAAGAACAGTGG